ATATTTGTTAGAGGTGTTTTTTTTTTTTTTTTTTTTTTTTTTTTTTAGGAGAGATTTTTGCTATAGGGTGCCTGCACTCACTAGAGAGAGGCAGAGAGACAGAAAGCGAGAAATCATCCCCCAGGGGGATGGCCACGCTGCAATCTCCTTCTCCATTCTCTCTTGGGATCTTGGGCTTGCATAGACATGTGCCTGGTATGAGTTTTAAGCTGCCGGGTGCAGGACTCGAACTACAGTTGACTACGTGAGAGTCCAGCAATGTAACCATTACACCATCTACTGATCCCTAAAGCTGCTGTCTTATCAGACAATACAGAGTACTATGAATGACCAAGGTACAGGCTATGATTTTATGTCAAGTTAGGGAATAGGAATTAAGAGAAGCTTTCTTTATGATGGAAAGCTTCATTTCCATATTTGGGGAATAAGAAAAACAATACAACTTAGGGGTAAGCAAAGTTGGAAGGAAAAAATTTGGGAGGTCCAGGGCAGAGTAATCTTGAGTTGTTTGAAGAAAATCAGTAACCATCACTTGGCTGTTTATTTATGTATCCCCACAAAGATTTGCAACGTCTGCTATCTCCTTCCCCTTTTCCCTTCTCACCTCTTTTAGACAGACTGTGACACCTTGAGTATGCCATTTACTCTCTTTGGGCCCCAATATTTTTGCCTTTTTGTTGAGGAGATGAGCCTTCTTGGTGTCTCTCTAAGGGTCTTTTCTGGTTGGGTAAGTATGAGTCTTTGGGGACAGTAAGAGAGGAACTGGGGATGGTTATTGCTGAGTGGGTTCCTCTTAAGCTTGCCATTTCCACTGGAATCTCCAGGGATATCACCAAGTCTCAGAGAATTCCCATACAGAATCGATTTCCCCATGAATGCCAGGGATGGCTGTGTGAGGAGTCCTTATACTTATAGAAGTTCTGCCTGAGAATTTACCCTTTTTCAGTATCTTCAGAATTCTGGAAGAAGAGAGAAACTCTCTTTCTGTTTAATTCCTTGGAGTGTAATAATATTACTCCTTTCTGTCAAACAAAAATAACTCTGTCCTTTCCTGGTTTCCTCCAGGTCTGTCAGGATAGGAATCCTGTAAAGAATGAGCTTTGTCCCTCACAGCCTCAATAAATTGATTGCTGGGCTTCTGCCAGGTTACTTTTGCCCCAGTCTCTCTGCCCCATGGACCTTTGGAATCTATATGATTATCCCAAATGGACAAATTTTCACCACGCTTAGCTGCCTGACCTGGGATAATTCCTTTTGTCTAGTGACTCTCTGGAGGTTCTACTCAAAGTCTAGTCTAGTATCTAAGGTCTACAGAGTATGGAGGTATGAGGGTTAGTTCTAGAACCTTGGGTATGCTCAGGAGAAACGAGGCAGGTGTCAAGTAGGTCCAAGGCCCTGAGGAGTTCCAAGATCATGAGTTGGCTGATGAGCAAAGCACTTGAGATAATTTAAATTCTGGATTGAACTGGTTGTTTCAAATGTCTATTCCAGTCCCTCCACGTGGGCTCAAGAGTCATCCTGTGTTCCACAGGTCCATCCTTCAAGTAGTTCTAGATCTGCCCATTTCCTGTTTATTGTCTATTTTAAAAACATCCTTATTTTGTCAGCTTGGTGATAGGACTACTGTCCATGATTAGAGTCTGTTCTACTCTGTAGAGGTATGGTACAAGAAGAGGAAAGTGACAGTCATTGAACTGAAGCCATTTATGAAGTCTTCCCAAAGTCAATTTAGCCTATTAGTCTTAATTTAATTTCAATGTTCAATTATACCTCTATCTTGCTGTCTTAACAAACAATGTTAATTATAACACCCATTTGGATGGTGCATATAATGAAAAGTGAAACATTTTTGAGAAAAACAAAATTGCTTTGAAATTCCCTTCTGTCTCATGCAGATGGACTAGGTGGATGGAATTTATCAGGCTGTAAAGTAAAGGAAACAAACGTAAATTACACAATCTGTCAGTGTGACCACCTCACTCATTTTGGAGTCTTAATGGTGAGTTTTTTCCTTAATCATTCCTTAATAAAATTTGATAACTTTTGCTGTATTACAGATGAATAACATATAGTCTTCAAAAAATGCATGGAAAATGAATTTTATGAATAATTCTATATGGATTCCTTTTTGTTTGTACCAAATAAACTTGTACTTTAATTTCATTTTTCCATGAGTTTTTTGAAGCCTTCTCATATGTGTGAACTAAGTTATAGGAAAATGGTAAGCAAGTAAAAAAATATCCCCCCGACTTTGTTACTTTTTTCATGTAAAGTAGAGCAGATTGAAACAGATATTTATTTACTTATTTCTCTATCAAATTAATACCCAATCCTCAATTTCAAACAGTGCTGAAAAGTTTCCTCTAATCCTCCTCCCAATAAGTCACAACACTGTCTGTCATGTATATTCATTTAGATTATTTTCCTGTGTGTATATTAGTATATGCTTTTGTTTTATAAAAATGGGATGAAATTATTCATACTGTTTTTACCACTTGTTTTTTTTTCCTTTTTTTTTTTTACATAGAGTGTTGCTTTTATTTTTTGTCCATTCAATCACTGTATATCATTACGGCATGCAAAATAAATATCCCCAGCATGAAAAACTGTATATTAGTCCAGGTAAAGATATAATCATATACCACTCACTTTTTTCACTTAACAGTATATTTTGGACAACTTTCAGGCAAATATGTATCTATCTACTGTACTTCAATTTTTAAATACCCATGTAGTATACCATTGTGTGGATTTTGCACAATGAATTTAATCCTTGCTAGGTGGACAATATAGCTGCTACTGTTTTTGCCATTATAAATATTGCTGTAATACACATTCTTATTCATTTCTCTTTGAACCCTCGAACCCTCATGTTAATTTTTCTATAGGATAAATTGGCAGAAGTAGAATTACTGGGTTAAAGGGGAGATACATAGAAATTTTGAATTTTTATAGTTATTGCCAAATTACAGTATATGGGAAATGTATGGTGTGGTGGTTGGGGTGCTTGACTCCCACATAGGCAACAGTGGTTTGAGTTCTGGACCTGGTAGCTTGCTTTCTCACTTTCTCACTTTCTTACTCCCCCTCTCTGGGAACATGTGTAAATAAAATAAAAAATAAAAATAAAATAAAACATTTGCTGTACTTTAACTAACAAGAATTGATCAATTTGTATAACCAGATTTAAAACCTCAGTAACATCTTGAACTCTTCTAGTTCATTCAGTTTCTTTTCTTTTCTTTCTTTCTTCTTTCTTTCTTTCTTTTTTTTTTTTTTTGGTGAAAGAGAGATTTTTGCTATAGCATGCATGAGCTTGTCAGAGAGACAGAGAGAGAGGAAGTGAGAAATCACTGGGGAATGGCCACACCACAATCCTTTCCCCTCCACTCTCCTCTTGGGATTTTGGGCACACACATGCACGCACATGCACCCAGCATGAGTTTTAGGTCGCCAGGTCTAGGACTTGAACTGAGGTCGACTATGTTGGCATTTAGCGACATAACCATTACGCCATCTGCTGGTCCCACACTTTCTATGATTCTCTTTTAACATTGGGACTTGCTGGTTTTTCTTCCAAATGGCTTTCAAATGTGTCACTTCATGTGTATCCACACTCAAATACTTATAGTTCTCTTAAGTTACTTTATTATATACTGTTATCTGAAAATGTCATGTGTGAGTTGTTTTTCCGACCAGTAGTAAGTTCTTTGAGGGCTGAGAGTCTGTTTTACATATTAAAAAAAAATCTATCTATTCACCAAATTAAAGGTGATCAACTATTACTTGTTGAGTTGTAAAAATTTTGTTTAGCTCCCTCCAAATTGGCTAGAACATTATAGTGAGAGTCAAAAAGACCAAGTTTCCTGTTCCAGGTCTGTCAGTAACTGGCTATGTAATCTTGATCAGGTCATTTAAGTTGTCTGGGCTTTCAGTTTTACTTCTGAAGTATGGAATAGACCAGGGTTTCTTAACTTAGGCACTACTGATATTCTGGACAAATAATTCTTTGTCATGGGGAGCCATTCTGTGCATTGTAAGATGGTTAACAGTATCCCTGGTCTCTACCCATTAGATACCAGTAGCACCTTCCCCAATTGTGACAACCCAAAACTTCTCCAGACACTGACAAATGTTCCTGGGAGAGAGGCGAAACTGCTCCCAACTGTGAACCACCAGAGTAGACCCACTCACCAGTTAACCTGTTGAGTCATGAGTCTTTATAGCCATCTGATAAAAGCTATGGACCTCTTCTCAGACCAGTGCACACATATATTTAAATAATTTTGTGTGACATTTCAGGCATTTTATGGTCCTCAGATTAAGAAATCATAAAGGTATATAATCTCTAAGGTCCGTTTTGTCTCTTAATTTTCTAAAAGTTATTTAAGGTCTAAGGAAAAGGAATATTTTTTTTGATCTTCTGTGTAGTGTTTTGGGACGCTCAGTTCAGATAATGATTCACTCTGCATCCTAAATTCCCATCTATTAGCTTGGTTATATTTTAAGTGTGGAACATGTTAATGACAATGAAACCAAGGACCAAATGTTCTTCCAATGCTGTCGATGGCTCTCCATGCCCTGTACACAGTAAGTTGCACCGGGCATGCTCAATAAACAATATATGGTCTTATCCTATATCCATCCACATAATCCGGTTTTGTAAGAGTTATAGCAGAGACTTTATATATCTTGGGAACCTCCTGTAATGAGCACTGGAAGCATTTTGCTGTAAACTTGCTCTGATGAATGTATAAAATATAACATATTGCATTTCTTAGGATTTATCCAGATCTACAGTGGATGCAGTGAATGAACAGATATTAGTGGTTATCACATACACTGGATGTGGAATCTCCTCTGTTTTCCTAGGAATTGCAATGGTGACATACTTAGCTTTTCAGTAAGTTGATATGGCCTTGCTTTGTTTAATTTCATTTGATGGGTACAGTTGTTACCTTATGCTTGTTAATTTCATGAACAAATCATAATAAGTCAGATCCATTAGCTTATGAACTGGGCAGATTAAAAAAAAAAAAACAACCAAAGATCTTCTAGAAATTCTTTTAATTTCATTTTTAAAAGAGCAAGAGGGCTGGAATATGAAATTTTTTTCTTCCAGGATACATAAAGACAAACTATAAAGAAAAAGTTGATAAAGTGGGCTTCCCTAAAATTAAGAACTTTGACCCAGCAGATGGCATGGAGTTGAAGGCATTAGATCACACAGCCAACTTTGCTTTTTGAGTCCCAGACCCAGTGGCTTGAAAATCATGCAGGGCATATGTGCATGCATGTACCAAATCCTGAGAGGACAATGAAGGATAAAAGATTGTGGCATGGCTATCTCCCTCCTGGGGGGATGTGATTTCTCACTTTCCCTCTGTCTCTTTCTCTTTTTCTCTTTCTCTTTTTCTCTTTCTTTCTTCTCTTTCTCTTTCTCCGTTGAGTGCACATGTTCTATGGCAAAAACAAAAACAAAACACGAATTAAGAACTTCTTTCATCAAAATACAAAGTAATGAAAAGGCAAACTACAGATTAGAAGGTATTCTGAATTTAAGTGTGGCAAAGGACTCATGCTGAATGTGAGGGGACTTGAAAAAATTTATTGAAAGGGACCAGCAGATGGCATAATGGTTACATTGCTGGACTCTCACATAGTTGTGAAAAATTAAATTGAAGTATGAATTTATTTTGGTGCAAAAAGTTTTTAAATCCATGCATAATTTTTTAATAATACACATTTTCCATGACATTTTTGGAAGATTCTTCAGATATAAAGAATGCCTACAAAGCAGAAAGCAAAAGACAGATAACAATTTTAAAATGGGCAAAAGACTTGAACAGGCACTTCACAACAGAAGAGATCCACATCCAACCCTAAGCTTTACCCAAATGGGCAATAAGCACACAACAAGGTTCCTCAATAGCATTACTCATCAAAGAAATGCTAATTAAAACCACAATTGCAGGCACTCCTCACTTCATGAGCAAGCTACCTTCTTCTAACTAGATAGGTGTTGAGCAAATTGTTTCACAAATGAGGAGCTTAAAGGTGATGTCTTGTGGCCTGTTGTGGCACCATAGCGTAAGTATTTTTCAATAGATATCACATGACATCACACTAGAATATGTAATTTTCTCCATACAAAAAGCATACATTAGATAAGTGCAAGAAAGTGACAAGACACACTACAACAGTAATATAAATCTGGCATAATTGTTTTTATGTGTTCTGGGTACTACTGTGGGTACATACTAAACTACAAATTTATAAACAAAACACATAATCTTACGTAATTATGACTGGTTCCAACTGCTGGACCAAGACAAAGACTGAGAGGGGATTCCGCGCACTGTAGAACTGGTCATAAGTCTGAGTGGCTGTCAAGCAGGAAGGACATTAAGTGAGGAGCGCATACTTCTATGCACCTGTCAGACTGGCTAAAATGAAAAATACTGACTATAGCAGGTATGAACAAGAATGTGGACCAACTGAAGCTCTAACATATTGCTGGTAAGAATGTAAAATAGCACAGACACTTTAGAAAATTCTTCATTGGTATCTACTAAAGAGCAATACAACTAGCTGTTGGCCCAGAAATTTCCCTCTTAGATATATACTGAAGAGAAATGAGTGCATGTGTCCCCCAAAAGATACATACAAGAATATTCAAAGCAACTTCCGCCACAGTAGCCCCAAGTTAGACAAAAAATACAAACAAAACAGTTGAATGGATAAATAAATTGTGCTAGATTCAACAAATGAAATGCCACACAAAAGTAAAAAAGAAGGAACTACTTCTATACAGTACAACGTACCTAAATGTCATAAAGAGGGAGCACAAAAAGCCAGAAAAAGAAGAGAATATACTGTATGATTCCATTTATATGAAGTTCCATGTAGAGACAAAACTAAATCTATGAGGATAGAAGTTAGAACATAGGTTACCTCTGGTTGGGGGTACAGAATAGGAGAAATTGAGGGACTGTCGAAAATGTTTTACCTCTTGGTCTGAGTGGTGTTTCAGCAGGTGTATACATATATAAAGTTTCATTGTGCTTCACTCTTAAGCTATGTGCACTTTACAATTTACCTCAGTTAAAAACAAAACATTTCCACAAATCAAAAGTTGCAAAATTTAAGTCAATGAATATGTAATAGAAATGTAAAAGAATGGAAGGGGAAAATATGTTTTTTCTTAGTTTGGAAAATACTGAGTCAGTTCCACAAAGTAAGATTGTGTTCACTTAGTGAAACCTAAAGCCATATTCCTTTTTTTAAAAAGAATTATTTTATTTAACTTTATTTATTTATTTATTTAAGTTTGATGAGGGAGAGAGAGAGAGAGAAAAGAGAGAAGTGAGAAAGCAAGCCACCAGGTCTGGGACTCGAACCATGGTCGGTCATGTGGGAGTCTAGTACCCTTAACCCCAAGGCCATATTTCAATGATGCCAAATACTGAGATCTTTGGAATGCGCAAGTAAGTCAAAAGAGTTCCCATAATCATCTTGCTTACTGGTAGTATGTCGATCTAGCCTGCCAAATCAGTGACGATGGAATTGTAGTATCCAGGAAAGTCCTTCCTTTCTTCTTTCTAAAATAGAAAAAAAAAAAAAAAAAGGGACTGCCTAGTTGAGAGTGGCTATTACTATTCCTGTTAGTGAAGGTTAACATATTCAGGATACTCTAAAATTCACTACATGTAAAGTAAAATGAATAATTCAAATTTACTAGGGAGTTTTTATCGTTTCACTTTTTATACAGGTAAGATATGGCAATGTTTCATTAAAAAAGAGACCCTACATAATTTAACACTTTTTTCTTTTAGCAAACTTCGAAAGGATTACCCTTCCAAAATCCTGATCAACCTATGCACAGCACTACTGATGCTAAACCTGGTGTTTCTGGCCAATTCCTGGTTGTCATCATCTCAGAAAGTGGGATTTTGTATCGTTGCCGCAGTGGCACTTCATTACTTCCTGCTCGTTTCTTTGACTTGGATGGGCCTGGAGGCAGTCCATATGTATTTTGCTCTGGTCAAAGTCTTCAATATATATATTCCAAACTACATCCTTAAGTTTTGTCTGGTTGGTTGGGGTAAGTATATCTGCTATTGTTCTGGATGTCTCTGTTTGAAGTTTGTCTGTCTTTTTAATTGTAGCTCCTTTTGACAAATTACTTGGGGCCAATTCTGTTAATATCCTAGGTAAGGAATTAAGGATGGCCGTGCTGGTGTGCATATCTTTTTCTGCTTGTATTGCTCTTTAGGTATAACTTTTAGCCTTTCTGGCAGGGAGCTGGTGCACAGATATTTATTGTGTACTTGATTGTGTGTTGTGCTAAATGCTAGTTCCATAGTAGTGAATCTGTCAGATTTTTTAAAGGTTTTTGCCACAGGGTGTGTGTGCTTTCTGGAAAGAAGAGAGACAGAGAAATACAGCAAGAAAGAAAATAAGAAATCACACACGCACACACACACACACACACACACACACACACACCCGTCTCAGGGGGAATAGCCATGCCACGATCCCTTTTCCTCCATTCTCTTCCTGGGATTTTGGGCACACATGTACATGTGCCTAGTGTAATTTTCAAGCCTCAAGGTTTGGGACTCGATCTGTGATCAACCATATGGGAGTCTAGCACCTTAACCACTATGCAGCCTGCTGGCTCTGAACCTTTCAGATATTATTCCTTTCTTATTAGATGTTCCAGTGGTACCAAACACTTACTGATATAACAGGTAATACTCAGGTAGCACTTATACTTGTCAGATGCTATGCTAAGTGTTTTAATACTCTTTAAATCTTCATGATATATGTATAGGATAGGTTCTATAGTTATTTTTACTTAATAAATGGAATTATTCATCTGTAGAGTAGATTTCATCATTATTTCCTTTTAATAGACAGGGGCACTAAGGCACAGAGAGAGTAGGCAATTTGCCAAAACGCACACAGTTAGTGATGGAACTTGGATTTGAACAAGGATATCTGTCTTCATAGTTTAGACTTTTAGCCTCTATGATATTGTCATATTGTTTAAAGAAAGGGAAAAAATGGGAAATGGGTGGAAGAGTTCCCAATCAGCCATGATCTGACTCACCACACCTCACAACTGCCTATCACTGCTGCCCTGGGATGGAACTCAGCATGCATATTTCCTAAGATAGATCCAATTTCATTGATTTGCTTTCCTGTATTTCTAACTGACATGGTCAGGTCACTCCTTTCCCCTACGCCCTTGTGTATCCAAGATAGATTATGTGGGACCAACTGATGGCATAATGGTTATGTCACTGGACTCCCATGTAGTTGACCACAGTTTGAGTCCTGGACCCAGTGACTTATAACTCATGCCAGGTGTGTGTGTGTGTGTGTGTGTGTGTGTGTGTGTGTGTGTGTGTGCTCAAAATCCTGAGAGAAGAATGGAGGAGAAGGGATTGAAATGTGGTCAAGCCCCCTGGGAGGGTGATTTCTCACTTTCTGTCTCTTTTTCTCTATTTCTTTGGTGAGCAGTGTATGCATCCTATAGCAAAAATCTCTCTCTGAAAAACGACAAAAACAGATTATGCAATCGTAAAACATATTGGCTGCATAGGAGGTATATATTAAGTGGGGTACATAAGATACATAATAAGAGAGATTTTATCTTCCATTGCTTTTGTGAGGACAATAGCTTCCTAATTAGCCACTCATCCTTTTAGTGCATTGATTAACATGGTACATGGTTTCATTGGCTACACTGTCAGTGCTGTTATGAATGCTAATGTGGGGAGCAGAGACCAGCAAATACTGGGTGGTTGGAAAAGCCAGGATGCAGTTCTACATAGAAAAAAATATGTCATGACTTTTCCAACAACCTAACAGTAAACAAAGTATAATCTAAAAAAAAAAAAAAAAAGAATCCATCAGAAACACAAAGCCAAAAGCAGTCAATACATACCTCTTTGTCCCTGGTGTCCTTCATCTTCATAAGCCAAATCCAGCTAATTGTGAAAGGGCAGTAAATTTTACTGGCTCCTAACTTTCCTTCTCCCTCTTCATTATTCCTTCTTATCTGCCTTTTCTAATCCTTCCTCCTTCACTTTTTCTCTAAATGTTGGCATTATCCAGGGCTTGTTTCTGGTCTATTTGATCTTCTCATTCCACACACACTTGCCGGGGGTACAGGAAAAGGCAGGGAAGGCCAAGACGTGTTAGTTGGAGGTAGTAAAACCTTGAGGAATATCAAATGCACACATGAACCAAGGCAAAGCCAAGACTAAGGCCTAAGCTACTCAACCAGTAAAGAAGGGTACAAGGAGTACTCTTAGATTCAGCTTCTCACATAGACAGCAAAAGGAAGAGTAGCTAGAAGTGCCAGCTCCCAAGCGCTTGTCCCTCATGCTGAAAAGAATGACACACAAATGAAAGGGGACAGATGATATCCATGTGAGTTGTGGAATTCCCTGTTGCTGAAGAGTCATCGTAAACAGAAGCTGTGCAATTTTCTGTTTGACAGCTGTATTCTGAGGGTCCAGGGTACAAAGCCCTACACATCCACAGAACCCTGGGAGGGGATGAGAAACTGCCTTCTGACGGCCTCTCAGAGGAGATAAGGAGGGGAATAGGAGATGACACTGGAGCACCTCCCATGGGCCTCTTGTCTTCTTGCGTACATAGAAGACCACAGACAGGGTGCTTCCCCCAAATTCAGATAAACTGTGGCCCAGGCCTTTGCCTCCATGGCCTATGTGGATTCACGTAAGGTCACAGGGAGTTCCTGATGAGCCACTGTGCTACAGGGAGTTTCAGAGCATTGAAATATTAGACAAATGCAATCAGCTGTAAGAAAAATAAATATTAGCATTATTTTACATCTGAAGCACTGGTTTCCTAATGCCACAACAACCTGTTGAAAGGTTTATTTCTTTATTTAAATCCCTGTCTAAAGCAGTAGGTCTGTCCACATTTTAAAAACAACAAACAACCAGTTGGAATAATTTTTTTAATGCTCAAAGTATAAACACAGCTTGAGGCCTGCCACATAAGAAAAATAAATATTAGCATTATTTTACATCTGAAGCACTGGTTTCCTAATGCCACAACAACCTGTTGAAAGGTTTATTTCTTTATTTAAATCCCTGTCTAAAGCAGTAGGTCTGTCCACATTTTAAAAACAACAAACAACCAGTTGGAATAATTTTTTTAATGCTCAAAGTATAAACACAGCTGGGGGCCTGCCACACAATTTCCATCCTAAATGTGCGGTCTCCCCCATCCCTCCCTTTATAGAGGATATTCAAAACAAAACAAAACAAAAAAACTACATCATTCTAGGCACTGATGCTCAACACCCTGGGGTTTGTAACAGCTTTGGAAAGTACCGTACAGAAGCTCTAAAATGGGTGAAGGTGTGTGCTCCTGTCTTAGGAGAAATACAATTGAAGAAATAAAGAAGTCATTTAAGTTTTGCAAATATACATGAAATTGGATTTCTAAACCCTGTGTCTTTACTCATGTCACGTTTGACCATTTTGCCTGAACTGATTGCTTTATTATAGTTTGACTGAATTGACTGGTTGTTAACTGGTCGATCTAGTCAGAATGTCAAACTAGTAACGAGTGTGGAAACAGCTTCCCTGTCAAAACAGCACTGAAGGCTGCAGCTGATTGCCGGTGCCCTTCCTCCAAGGTGACCCAGACAGAAAGATGCTGGGGACCAAGGGGCACGATTAAAAGGGAGAAAAAAATTGGCAACCCATCATCAGGGATGAAATGCTTGATGTGAACTTGCATTCAATGAACTAGATACTTATATTGCCAAGTTGATTTTTTGGCACTTGAGCTATTTTTAATAACCAGTGGGCGTTGTATTGGAGCCATTGGCATGCTGTTTAGTTTAGCAGATTGGAGAACTCCTAGAAATGTTTAACTTGGAAGAATTCACAAACATTTTGCAAACAATGGTATTTTGATGCCCGCACATCTGTGGCTTTTTAAAATACTTTCTTAATCTATCAGCAGCCACAGTCCTTGGTCAGGATTCCTCCCCTGTTACCTAATGGATGCCTTTGACTTGCTTTCCCACTCTAGGAATCCCAGCGGTCCTGGTGGCAATCATATTCAGTGTGAAAAAAGATCTGTATGGAACTCTGAGCACAACAACTCCCTTGTAAGTACCAGGATCTCTGCTTCCTCAGGTGGCAGGGCTCTGGCCTAGCAGGGTTTGGTGGGTTGTTCCTAGCCTAAGACTTGGTCTTAACACTGACTTCAGGAAGAAGTTAGCCATAGCCTCTCTGCCCTAAACACAGCCAAGGCCATATAATGGATGGATACCTAGGCTCTGTGTAACCTTGGGCAAGTTACCTTACCTCTTTTTCAGATCGCTCCATTTCTGCCATAGAGTGCATTCGATATCTATTTAGCAGGGATATAGGGTGTTTGTCTTTTTATTTATTTATTTTTTACATTCAATCACCGTGTATCATTATAATACACCAAATGAATTTTCCCATTCTGAATACTGAATATTGGTTCAGCCAAAGATATTACCATACATATTATCATCAACAGCTACTTTTCTATTTTTGTGTTCCTAAAATGTTTTGCTTCTTTTTTTTTCCCCCTTGATGTCTTCCCTCTCACCCTCCCCCATTTCCCATACTGTCTCTAGTATCCACAGTTGTTCTCCATGCCTTTATACCTTTTTAAAACTTTTTTATTTTAATTTATTTTATATATTCAATCACTATATATCACTACAGCTTGTAAAATGAATTTACTCATGATGAGTACACTTCGCACTAGTCCAGTCGAAGATATCATATACATTATCATCAATAGTCATCCATTTCTGTGTTCCTTATATGTCTTGCTTCTCTATTTTTCTCCTTGATTGCTTTCCTCTCACACTCCTTCATTACCCGCCCTCTTTCCACACTGTCTTTAGTATCCGTAACGATTTTCCATGCTCTTCTATATCCTCTAATCTTTCGGTTTCCACCATAGAGTGTAGACAGTGGGTTTATATTAAGTGGAGCCATACAGTGTCTCTCCTTCATAGTCTGGCTTGCTTCATTCCCTCAGCAGTAAATCTTCCATATTCATCCACTTTCTATCAAATGCCAAGGTCTCATTTTTTTATGGCTGAGTAGTAGTCCATAGTGTATATGTGCTGCCCTTTTTCAATCCACTCATCTGTTTGTGAAAATTTGAGTTGGTTCCATGTCTTAGCGATTGTGAATAATGCTGCAATAAACACATGTGCAAGCGCTTTCCCGACTGAGCATTCCCCTATTTTTTGGGTAGGTACCCAGGAGTGGCATTGCTGGATCATATGGTAGTTCTATTTGTAGGTCTTTGAGGAACCTCCATATTGTTCTCCACAGCGGCTGAACCAGTTTACATTCCCACCAACAGTGTAGGAGAGTTCCCTTTTCACCACAGCCTCACCAGCACTTACCTTTTTTGTTCTTCTTTTTTTTTAATCTTAGCCATTCTGACTTGGGTTAGGTGACATCTCATTGTATTTTTGATTTGCATCTCCCTTATGATGACTGATATTGAGTATTTGTCTTTCAAAGTCTTACTTCGCTTAGCCTTTAATCTTCTAGACTCAGCCACTTTGTATCACATGACGGGATCTCATTGCTAAAATGGTATTTGTGGCTGAGGATTATGCAGTGGTAAATCCCAGTGTTCTGTAAGGCTGACTGATCCACATGGTAGGGTTCCAGGTTTGTGTTCAGAGACCTCCCTTAGCCTGTTGGGCACATGAATGTCCATGATCTGGTGCTGGCTGGGGCTGGAGGTGGATTACAATGTCAGCACCCCCATGTCTCTCTGTCTCTTTCTCTGTCTCATGAAATGTACTTTTTTAGACATTTTATTTATTCATTTTTATTTATTTTAATTTGGAGAGGGAGAGAGAGAGAGTAAGAAAGAAAGAAAGTGAAAAAGCAAGCTGCCAGGTCTGGGACTTGAACTGTGATTGGCCATGTGGGAGTCCAGTGCTCTTAACCACCATGCCACTTGCTAGCCCCTCATGAAATAAACTTTTAAAAATGGCATGTTTTTAGAGTGTACAGTACGTTGCCTAATCAATGGTAAGTGCTACATAAATGCCAGCTATGAGGATTACAAAACTCACAGAACACTGGGAAGACCTAGTGGCCAGTATAAGGAAATATGGGGACAAGCTGGAAAACATTTTCTGTCCGTTAACAACAAAGGTCTTCCCTGAAGACTTTTCAGCTTTCATTTTAGCTTTCCAGTGTAAAGTGGCTCAGTCTACTTGTGTTATTTTTCCTATCTTTTTTTTTTTCATTTGATGTATCAGCCCATCTCTTTGGTTTTCTCAACCATGGCCACAAGAGAGTAGAAATTCACTCCATGCCAGCTCTCTAGAACCTTCCTTTACAAGCATGTAGTTACCCTGTGATCCTTTAGATTGCACAATCTCATTTCACGCTTCTGACTGGTTTTTATTTACCCATATCCATTCTCTTCATCATTGCCCCTCAAGTTCTCTTCCATTATAGATTTCTTCTCCCACTGCACTAGAATCTAATGTAGGAAGTCCTACTCCCATCTTTCATATTAAGATTACAGTTTCCAGAGGGTCAAAATAATATTGCCCTTTGTAGCAGGTGCCTTATTTAAAATTCCTTGTTATCTTTTCTTTCTCTCTTTTTTTCTCTACCCTTCCTTCTCACTTCCCCCGCTATTCGCTCTCCTTGCTTCTTTTGTGATTTAAAAGGACCCCAGTGTTTATCTAATGATTCTTCTTCAAAGATCAAAAGCAAAAGAAAACTCAGAACAAAATCAACTTTACTCTTCCCCAAAAGAGTCCTTTATATGTGAGTTGGTTAGTAAGAGGCTGACTGCTATAAGAGCTATTTAAAAAAAAAGAGAGAGAGAGAGGTTTATTCTATTTAACTTTATATATTTATTTATTTTTAATTTGACCAGTGAGGGACAGAGAGAAAGTAAGAAAGCCAGGTCCAGGACTTGAACCATGGTTGGCCAAGTGGGAGTGCAACACCCTTAACCACCACACCAGCAAGTTCCAAGGTTGTTTTTTTTTTTTTAATAATTATGTTTTAAAGAGGCAATTCATGAGCATAAATAAAAATTCAAATGTACAAAAGGGTAAAGGATGAAAAGTTAAGTCCCACCTCCAATCCCCAACTACCCAATTTCTCTCCCTTGAGGTAACTGTCATTACCAACAATCAAAATAGTATAGGTACTCTCTTGCATGCTCCATTACCCAAATAGTAGCCTCCTTTAAGGCTGAAAATGATAGTCAGTGAACCCTAAGTTATTAGATTCAATTAGGAAAATTACATGCTTTTCTTTATACCCTTCTAACATACAAACTCACTCATACATGAAAGTGTCCACGCCAGCATGGACATCATGGCCAAAAGAGATTTTCCTTGTTTTAGAAAAGAGGTCTCAGCTAAGTTGACACAGTTAAATTAGTCAAGCTTGTCTGTGTTCAAATATCAAAGACAACGCCTCCAGTAATTGGTGATGTTATTCAATGACGTATTCTGGCATTTACTGTATATTTCTCTTTTAATAAAGACTGTAGAGCCACTAATCAATCCAGTGACCAGTATTGCCTTTTGTAGTCCAAATACATCATATTTTAAAGCAGTACATCTAGAGCTGTCCTCTTTCTGTTGCATTTTCATTAACTCTGATAATCTCATCATTGTTTGATATAGCATTCAGGAAAGCCAGTCATTGCTCATGTCCTTTTACTGTGATATTTATTATGCAAAGTAGAATTCATTCTGCAAATAAAAGCTCAGGTATAAGGTGTAGGGGAAGGTGGAGAGAGCTACTTTGAGAGAAAATACATAATTTGTTTTTCTGCTGTTGAGAAAGAAAGTAGTCTCCTAGGGAATTAGACTGAGAGGATTCTGCATATGTAGGACAGAAATTTCTTCTAGGATTTCTGACTTGGTGTTGGAAAGAACCCTGGGCTAGAGCTCAGGAGGCTGGGGTTCAAGCCCCAATTCTGTCTCCAGTGAGGGTGAGTGAACTCTCTCTAGGTCTAGGTGTCTTTAGGTGGAAAAAAAAAATGGACTAGGTGATTTTCAAAGTATCTGAAAAACTAGAAGTTTATGTTTACTTACCTCACAATAGTTTTCTCTTCTTTGTTTCCTACAGCTGTTGGATTAAAGATGATTCTATCTTTTACATCTCAGTGGTGGCTTATTTTTGCCTCATATTTCTCATGAATTTCTCCATGTTCTGCATTGTTTTTGCTCAACTGAATTCCATGAAATCCCAAAGCCAAAAGAGTCGGCGGAAGCTGATCCTGCATGACCTCAAAGGCACAATAAGCCTGACATTTTTACTCGGCCTCACCTGGGGGTTTGCCTTTTTTGCCTGGGGACCTGTGAGGATCTTTTTCTTGTATCTTTTTGCCATTTTTAATACTTTTCAAGGTAACTCCTGCTTCTTTGCTTTTTCTGTGACTAGCTAGGCTTCAACCAAATCTCTTGCTGCTTTTGAAGCTACCTCATCTATCAGAGACTCAACGGAGGAAAAAATACTTCAAGAGGATTCTATCCTCAGTGAACTGATAACCACTGGAAACATTAGCTTTATGTTGGGTTACATTAAATGAATATACATCCCTCTTCTACTCACAGAGGTAGGGAGAAATCCAAATAGCTAACCCAACTCTAGCTAGTTAGCAGTGTCTATATCAAACACTGATTGGCAATACTTTTTACAGTATTCATCGCATCAACACATTGTGCTTCATTCTTGTACTGAGATTTTGAAGTACACAACCCAGTTAAACATAGTGATTACTGGACAGTAGACACATTAATGTTTTGACTTTGTAAACTGTCTGTATCAAATATCCTAATATTGTGGGCAAGGTTAGGGATGAAGAATTGTAGAGTGAATGAAAGTTAAGAGCAAAGAGCCAGGGCCAGGCAGTGGTACAGTGGTGGTGCAAATGGACCCACATGGGAAAGGTATTGGATTCCCATCTTTAGACCTCCCTGAGACATCAAATACATGCATGTGCCCATAACTCTGGATGCCTGACACTGGGGGTGGATTGTGGCATAACGACCCTGATGTATGTATTTGTCTCTCTCTTGGATTCTTTTCTCTCATGGAAGAAAACAAACAAAACAAACAAACAAAAAGCAAAGTGCTTTGGGCCAAGGCAATAGGACAAAGTTCCAGTCTTGATTTTGCTACAAATAGACCTTGGAAAAGTCATCACAACTGGTTGAATTAGATGATCATAAACTAAAGCCTATATAACTCTAACTAAATGCTATATAACTCCTTAATCTCTTCTCTACATTCTGGTGAAAGGAACAAATGATCCATGAAGTAATTAAATGGAAGAAAAAAGATGATATGAGGAGGAAAACCTAGGGGTTTAGTTAGCATACCTCTCAGTAGGGACTATCAGGTGATGTGAAAGTTAAGGTGCTGGACTTCCACATGGCTGACCATGGTTCCAGTTGCAGACCTGGTGGCTTGAAAATCATGCCGGGGCGTGTGCATAGGTGCATGCCCAAAATACCAGGAGGAGAATGGAGTGGAAGGGATTATAGCATGGCCATCCTCCCTGGGGGGGTGGTTTCCTCACATTCCCTCTCAGTGTCTCTTTCTGTCTCTCTCTGGCAAGCTCACAGACCCTATGGCAAAAGGGGGAGAAAATAGTCTTATCTCAGGAACTTCTGATGTTCATATGAACCTTATTTTGCCAATTAAAAATATTAGGGCATGGGACCAGCAGTTGGTGTAATGGCTATGTCACTGGACTCCCATGTAGTCGACTGCAGTTCGAGTCCCGGACCCGGTGGCTTAAACTCACGCCAGGCGCATGTGCATGTGTGCCCAAGAGCCCGAGAGAAGAATTGCT